CCAAGTTATATGGAGAACATTCTGAAATTCAAAATAGCTTCCGTAAGTCACCATTTTTTCGCGGTCGATCAAAGACAATAGTGATTTATTTTTTCGTAGAATAGTTACCTCTCTGCCCTTCCTTACTTTGTTCTCTGGCTGCTTAGTTTCGTCATGAGTCCCATAGCCGATAGATTAATATTAAAGCAAGTGGTGAGCAGAGGCACCAGCAGGAAAATTTTCAACTCCATAGGTAAGTCTGACGATATGTATTCGGTGGACGTCTTGTAAAAGGATTATTTAGGTTTGATGGTGCCCGCCGTTGCTCTTTTCGCTCTCAATTTTGTGGGTAGCTCCCAGAAGGAAGTCACGATCGTTATCCTGGTGATTGCTGTTGGCTTCAACGCCGGTGTGCTTTCTGGTTTCAATGTGAACCACATAGACATATCCCCGATCCATTCTGGGACCCTCATGGGGATCACCAACAGTTTGTCCAACGTTTTCTCCATCATAGCCCCATTGGCCGTGGACGCTGTCAAATCCATTACGGGCTATGAAGAGGTAAGTTACGAATATCAGTTTGATTTTATAGGCCACCGTTTTTGTTGAACTGTAATCGAAATCGAATCTAGACAAGGACACAAATGAGATGAGGTTGAAGTGGTTGTTTAGATTTTATTTGTTGGAATATTTAGGATTTGTATCACCTCATTTATGGTTATCTTGCTTTTACATTTTCATAATCAATTAGGTTACTTGAATGTGAGCGAATTTCTATATTCTTCCTTTTTTCAGACGGACAAATCTATGTGGAACATAGTTTTCTCCATAGCGGCCATAATCTACATCCTTACTGGTACATTCTACGCGTTCTTTGCGTCGGGTGAAGTACAGCCTTGGGACAACTTGGAACTTAGTAAAAAAAGCCCCGTTGGGCTCAGCAAAGAACAACTGGAGAAGAAATATGATAGCGTCTAGAACAAATACAAATACTGGAGACACTGAAGAATGACTTAATTTATATTTTTATTATTAGACGTATTTAATGATACAAACTCTTTTAACACGCAACCTTCATGTACAAATTTGAATGTAAGAAAACAATTATTTCTTGGAATTGTAATGTAAATATTTCTCACATATTTTAAACTTTTAATGAAATTCGTATATATTTTCGATAGAAAGAAGTCAGTTATTGCCAAATAATTTAATATAGTGAAAGGAGTGTTTGAAAATCACTGTTTTAAGTGGGGCACAAATGAGAAAATGGAGAGAATGAGATATTTTCTAATAAATGTTTGTTTTCTCCAACTCAACAATTTTGTGATAAATCTGATATTGTATAAGTTTTTATAAGTGAATAAAAAATTATTTTAGTGAAAAGTTAAGTTCGTTTTCTTTAATTTTACGTCTGGGCTAGAGAGTGAGTATTGGAATTGCCCAAATTTAACGTTAGAAAAAACAGAAAATAGATCGGTTGTTAGTGGAATATACCTTTTTAGCAACAGTAGAAATAAACCCTAAGATTTTACATAACGTGCCTTTTTGTTAACAAGTTTACATTTCGATCTATTCAAAATGGTGTCGTGCGAAGTGTCACGATGTATCACGATGAAGTGTGATGATGACGATGACGTGTGACTATGATATGTGACGATGACGACGACTTGTGACAATAACTATGACGATGGCGATGATTATGACGACAACGTTAATGATGATGATGATGAGGATAGTTAGAGAAATTAACACAATAATGTGCTACTATACCTTTCTAACTTGTGCCTACGCATTTATGTAGAAATAGTCTTATTTTCGTTACACTTATTACACCAATATAAAACGACATGGGTCTGTATCCTCTTGCCACTTCTTCGCATTAGGTCCTCTTACAATACATATGTTTTATCGCATTCTTAAGGTTTTGTGCTTTACGCAGCCATATGCTTTTAAAACATGTGCATGGAGCGATGACTTTGTGATCGTAAAAATGCACGAATATTATGAACGAAATATTAGCACAATTTTTACTACGGACACATATTGTATAGCGACATCTACAGGAACATTGTGACACTTTGTTGGACGAAACGAGGTTTCAATTTCCATTCTCAAATGACTGCTTGATCCGACATAAAACTACAACAATGTGGAATGTCATTATCAAGAATAATAAATCCAGATTTGTGGATTTAATGCAATAAAGATTAGGAGAAATATTAGTTAGTAGTAAAGTGTTCTTCTGCATCGTCTAGGCTGGCAGTTCTTTGTTTGTTATCAGAAATATGAAAGGTGAAAATGAAGTAGAAGTTCAAGAACCGGGTAAGTTAATTTTTTTTAATTTACAAAACCCGATAAAACTAAAGGGTNATTTATTATAATGGTACAAACATAATTTATAGCAAAATTAATAATTCAATCGTATAGAATTACAATCAATTTTCAATCAATCAGTTGAATAAATGATTCAGTGTATATTTACACACAACTAATAGATGACACGGTTATACATGAGAGGCATTGTAATCGTATAAAACACGTATAATAATTTCATAGAATATTCAGGGTGATGCTTTGTATCGATCCCATATTTTTGAAAAATCTGAATGTGCGGATTCTGTAGCCTGTTCGCTGTAATAAGCTAATCCTCTGTTTTTTCCAAATCTTTAACATGGAAAAAATTGAACACTAATATAAAACGACATGGGTCTGTATCCTCT